GGAGGCAGCCAGCCTTCCTACTAGGCTTTCAATAGCTGGTGTGAATTGCCCCGTGTTCCGAGACCAGAGTTTTTAATTTTCAAAGCCATTTTCTTCCCTCTGTCTGCCTTTGACCCCACTCACAGCTTCACCGCCTTGGCTCCTGTTCTGGAAGCTCTCAGAGACAGCCTCCTCACCGCAGCAGGTCCCTCGGGTCTTCCTTCCATCCAAGGCTTGCCCCAAGAGGTTCTTAAGTCTCAGAATGTGGCAGGGTTTCTTAATTTGGGGAGCTAAGGTGGCTGTGACAGTGACCTCCTTCTAAGCCGGTCATGCCTCCATCTATTGTACGGGCAGATGTAGCTCTTGGTCCCCAGTATCAGTTTGTCCAACAGTTTTTCCTCTAAAGCGTGCATCCTTTGAAGGTAGGCATAGAAGAGATGTCCCAGCCCCACACAGGTCCCCAGGCCCATCACAGGGTCGTCTGACAACACCTTTTTAACCGCGAAGGACGACGAGGCAGGCCTTTCCAGACTTCAGAAAAGAAAAATGAGAAATTGTGCAAGAAGGCAAAAAAGGAAAAAAATGTGTGTGTTGGGAGGGGGAAGAGAGTAAAATAAAAATAGAAGAAAGGAAGGGGGGGATAGACAAAGAGAGAGAGAGAGGGGAGCTTAAAAGATGAAAATGAGGAACAAAAGAAATAATAGTGCAAATGTCTAACGAGAGGGGAAGCAAAAAGAATAATTTGAAAGATGGGGCGCTAGAATGCAAGCAAAAAGCGAAAAAAGAAAAAAAAACGGAGAAAATATAAATTCGAAATAACTAAAATCGAAGGAAAGACAGGAAGAGAAACTTAAACACAAGAGGGGAAGAAAGTTCACAAAAGACTACAGACAGGGAAAGCACAGTCTGAAAAAAAAAATGGGAGAAAAATAAGGAAAGCGCAACAGGAAGGACCAAGCCATTCTTCTGAAGCCGGGAGAAGGGAGCGACCACAAGTTCTGCGGGGGCCCAGGCGGTCCTGTGGGTCTGGCTGGCGAGCCACGTTCTTCCCCGAGAAGGAAGTGTCCCCAGCCCCGCTGCAAATAAATCATTTTTCAGTCACCACCGACCTGAGGGCCGCCATCGTTGCCACGACAATAACACTCACTGTTCCAGTTGGGATAAAGGAGGCAGCGAGCTCTTACTTTACAATAAAATAAAACAAAATGTAACACAGGCCCCTAAGTGGAGCGGGGGGGGGGGGGGGGCTCGTCTCGCCCCCTCCCTCCGGAGCCGGAGTAAGGGGCGGGAGCTGACACGGAGGTGCCAAGTCCCCACGGCCGGAACCCCTGGGGGTGGGTCGGCCACACTCAAAGGCCAGGCTGTAAAGGTCACAGGCGGTCTGCGGGGTTGCGCTGAATGGGGTCCTGGAGGTAAACAGACTCTTAACTTTCAACTTGGCCTTGACCTTCCTGGAAGTGTCTGGATGGTATGTAAAGGAGCTCCTAAGGCTTTCAGAGCCTTTGGCTGGGTCAGTAAACGGGGCTCCGGAGGCTCCAGACTCCTCCCGGTGGATCTAACAGCAGGTTTCCAGCGGAACACAAAAGCCTTGGTGAACCTGGAAAAAGGACTGGAGACCCTATTGGGGAGATCAGAAGCACCACGGTTGGGAAGGGGATTGGGAGCTGAACTCCCAAGGGGATTGGGAGTCTCGGTTTCTGTGTAGGAAGCCGGGTTCCTACGGTAGTAAGAAGTGACTCGCGTGTTCTAGGGCAACTGTTCGGTTTGAATAAAAGCAAGTGGTTTCATTAGATACATACACATACAGGAACACAAATAGAAGTGTTTATTCACTTTGCAAAAACACTTTCACATGTAAAATCTCATTAAACTGTCATAGGGTTCATGTAAAGTAAGAATATATCAGCACCATTTTAGAGAGAAGGAGACCAAATCCCATTTTACTCAAGTCCAGTGGAGATCTCCAGGGTCCCAGACAGAGGCGCTCACATATATGGATATGCATAGGAAACAGGAGCCTACCTCACGTGCTAAAAACGTCGATATGTTGACCTGCTCCCTGGGCTAGAACAGATGCTGCATAAATTACAGAGGGAACAAAACCAAACTCAAGGTACTATTTGTGTTGAAAAATGTCTGGTCTGGAGGGGAGGCTTGTGAGTGTCTCTGGGGGCCAAGTTTAAGCTGATCTGCGTTCTACAAGGAGGTATATGTATCCAACTGCTTATTTCTGTGTCTGTTCATACAAACACCAAAGAAGCTCAGTTGTAGGTAGGCATTGCTGCTGAGATTTTTCTCAGGATGTTGTAGATAGAGTCCAGGGCCTCCCACATGTTAGGTGACCACTACTATGAATCCATTTTTTGTTTAATTATTTTTCTTCATGAACTGAGATGTAACTGGGCATGTAACTGGGCGGGGGGAGTGTGGAAATCTCAAGCATACAACTTGGTGGGGTTTTACAAAGCAAATATACCCACATAACCAGCATCCACATTGAGATGACATTTCTAGAGCCCTACAAGGTCTCCGGACCCTTCCCTAGTTCATGTCTCTTCTGGCCTCAGTCACTATTCAAAATTCTTGAACCATGTAGACGTGGAATCATACAAACTTCTTTTATGCCTGGCTTCTTCCACCCACAGAATAGTGGAACTCGCCCATGTTGAATTTAGCAATGATTTGCTGTTTTTTTTTTTTTAATCCCTATGCTTAATGCCAGCTTGGTTTCTTTGTCTATCCTACCGTTGATGGAATTTGACTAGTTTTCAGTTTTGAGGTCCTAGGGATCACGCTGCGACAGACCTAGCGCAAGGCACTGTTCTTATTCTTCTTCCTTTTTTAAAATCACAGCGGGGTCATAGCTCATGGCTAGAATGCTTATCTAGCATGTACTAGGTGAGGGTTCAACTCCACACACTATGGGATAAAGTAAAAGAAGTAAAATATTCCGTTCTTATAATCCCAGCAACACGGGGAAGGTAGAAGCAGGAAGATCAGGATTTCAATATCTTCAGCTACAATTGGAGTTTGAGGCCAGCCTCAGGTTGCTACAAAGCTTCCAGGGGTCATGCAAATCCTCTGAATATTAATACAGTTTCAGCCACCTGCTGATGAAAGTATTAGAACATACCCCCTGGCGGATATAAATTTTCCTTTGTACCCGGAGTGTGGCTGTGGCTATGATTTTTTCCCTAAATTTAGGGATTCACCCATTGTTCTATTAGCAACACATATCTCCTCCCTACCCTGGCTGTCATGGGACACACTCTGTAGATCAGGCTGGCCTACTCAGAGATCTCCCTGCCTCTGCCTCCCTTGTACTGGGGTCAGATGCATGCGCTACCATGGGTTTTATCTTCTGGCAACTATAGGTGTCTCTGCCTAGCAAAAGCTAAAAACCGGAACTCTGCCTTGGGAAAAAAGAATAAACTGAAAAGCTGTGGGAAAATCTTCCATTATGATTAGCAGTGAAGAGACACCTTTCTTTTCTTTCCTGTTTTCAGGTGGGATAAAAATCAGCCAAGGTTTCTGTGCTTGGTGCCAATTACTGGCAATGTTTGTTGAGAGTGATCTACAGGACACTACAGGCCTACCATTTGGAGCAATTCTGACTTCCAAAGGCCTTTTCCTGTAAGGGGACTCAAATTCAAGTTCAGACTGGTGATATCGTGGGCTTAGCCCACCCAGAGTTCAAGGAGGGCTTATTGCAACCAAGCCCTTGGTGTAATAGAAAAAAAAAAAACCTGAGGGCTTTAGAAAACTAGAAAATGTAGGATTTCATGTGGAGTGATGTAGGAAAAGAAAACTATTTCAAGGCAGATTTGTATAACAAGTTGTTTGAACCCACAGCACAATAGGCCCCAATAGAGGGGGGATTCTAGCGACTGGGACACCCTTGCTCTTTCTTCTTTAGCTTCCAAGGAAATTCAAAGCCCGCAGGAGGCAGCCAGGGTTCTGAGCTATCTAGCACCTCAATTGTGTGGTTATGCGAATGGTCCAGGGTCAGTTTCTTGATTTCCTGGGCTATAGGGCTTCCTGGCTATAGACCAAAGAGCAGAAAGGCCCCACAGGATCCCCGCAGCTGATTCATGGCCACTTAGCCTGCCTTGGCTTCCCCAGACAGCAGATTCCTGAAAAGGGGAATAAAATCTTGTCCCCCCCTCCCCATTTTTCTCTCTCTCCCTCCTCCCTCCTGCCCCTTTCTCTTTCCCAGCCTTAGTATATTCTTTCAAGTAAAGTCCTGTGTGCTCCTGTCTCTTGGTCTCCTTAAACGGAAATCCAGACCCCTTTCCCCAGACATCTAGAGGCTCCATTTCCCCTTCAGATCAGGACATTGCCTGGGCTGTGGATTGCACGTTTTCTGCGCTCCTTGCTCCTTCGGGTTCCCAGTTTCTCGGCTCTGCCTCACCCCGATTGGTGCCTCCAGAGCCTTCAGGACTGTGGCTATGCAGGGTCCATAGGGAAGGGACCTTGCAGGCACAGGCGCATTCGCATTTGGGACTGAAGGGGCCTGCTAGAACCCAGGACCCAAAGCAAAGAGCACCCTGATGCCTATAGTTCCCATTCCAGTTTCCCTCTTATTCAGAAACATTCCCAGTTATCCTTTGAGGAGGCCCTTCCCCCGACTCCCCCGCCCCGCCATCACCAGGAGATGGACACTTTATTGGGAGAGCTTTTTATTCCCTCGTTAAACCTGCCAAAATGCAGAAGACAGAGAGCCAGGCAGAGAGAGAGAGAGAGAGAGAGAGAGAGAGAGAGAGAGAGAGAGAAGACAGAGACACACACACAGACAGACACACACACAGAGAGAGAAAGACAGAGGCACAGAAAAGAGACACACAGACAGAGACAGAAACAGAGAGGGAGAGAAGGAAGGAGGCGGAGCCGGACACCCTGTCCCCTCTCCCCCTGCAATTTCTGCGGGGAGGATTTTATGAGCTTCTCTCCCAGGCCGCAGCCAATCAGCATGAGCGCCCGGGCCCCAGCGTCTCTTGCGTCAAGACGGCCCTGCCAGGCAATGCAGACGACCTGTGAGCTGGGAGCGATTTAAAACGCTTAGGATTCCCCTGGCCTGGGTGGGGAGAGCGAGCTGGGTGCCCCCTAGAATCCCCACCCTCGGCTCCCCATGAGCGAATCATCGGCCCCATGGAGCCCGGCAATTATGCCACCTTGGACGGAGCCAAAGATATCGAAGGCTTGCTGGGACCCGGAGGGGGTCGGAATCTAGTCGCCCACTCCCCACTGGCTAGCCATCCCGCGGCGCCAACGCTGATGCCGACTGTCAACTATGCCCCCCTGGATCTGCCAGGCACTGCAGAGCCACCAAAGCAGTGCCACCCTTGTCCTGGGGTGCCTCAGGGGGCATCTCCAGCTCCCGTGCCTTATGGCTACTTTGGAGGCGGGTACTACTCTTGCCGAGTGTCCAGGAGCTCACTGAAACCCTGTGCCCAGACGGCCACCCTGGCCACCTACCCTTCGGAAACTCCTGCGCCTGGGGAGGAGTACCCCAGCCGTCCCACCGAGTTTGCCTTCTATCCCGGCTACCCTGGACCTTACCAGCCTATGGCCAGTTACCTGGATGTGTCTGTGGTGCAGACCCTGGGAGCCCCTGGGGAGCCTCGCCACGACTCTCTGCTTCCTGTGGACAGTTACCAGCCCTGGACCCTGGCCGGTGGCTGGAACGGCCAGATGTGTTGTCAAGGTGAACAGAACCCACCCGGTCCTTTCTGGAAAGCGACGTTTGCAGGTAACTTCTACTCTTGCTCCTCTTGGCTCTGAGCATTGGGCTATGCTGGTTGGCACTTGTTTGGAAGGAGGGAGACTTGGAGCTGGTGAGGAGGAGCCTGGGGTTCCTTGGGTTGCTCATTAGGACTTTGAAAGAGGGTCCAGATAGCTAGAGGACCTGGATGGAGGTCTCAGGGGGTAAGAATGAGGGGCCTCAGCAGGGCACTAGTTGGAGCTTCAGAGTGGCCACTCTTCCTCTCTTACCCCTGAGGCCACTGGACCACCCTTTCAATACATAAATAAATGTTGGGAGAACCTTGGGTCCCTACTATTGACTGGGGCCCGAATGTCCCAGAACAACCCCAGTCTAATTCGACACAAAGGCCAAATGACATAATCCAGTGGCTTTGAAGGTGACAACGAGAGATGGAATGGGTGCTATCGGATGTTCCTAGAGAATACAACCACTTGCTTTCTTAGATGAAGTTTCAATTTCGAAAGGAAAAATTTAGGTTTTCCTTCACTGGGCGGTGTATTGAAGGGGTGTTCCTTGAGTGTGTGTGTGTGTGTGTGTGTGTGTGTATTGGGTGGGGGGGCATAAACCTGTTTTCTCCTCTATGTAAGTGGCCGATTCCAAAAATGCATGTGAGAGTGGACAGTGTGGCTGTGAACAAAACCCTGAGAGGGTGTGTGTGTGTGCACACTTCCTGTGTGAGGGTAGCGATGGTGGGGATGGCCCACAGGAACAGAGGCTGAGTGGGTAATCAGAGAACCAGGCAGACTCCAGCAGTGTCCCTATGTGCTTTGGGGGAGCTGGGCCCACCCATAGAATAATCAGGAAGCGCCTGCAGGATGACGTAGCCTGTAGCCCTAAGCCTGGGTCTGCTTGGTTTTGCACAAGAGAGGGGATTAAGCGTGCCTTTCCCTCCTCCTTTTCGCACCACACAGAGCCCAACACCCAGCACCCTCCTGATGGTTGTGCCTTCCGCCGAGGCCGCAAAAAACGCATTCCCTATAGCAAGGGGCAGTTGCGTGAGCTGGAGCGGGAGTATGCGGCCAACAAGTTCATCACCAAGGACAAGAGGCGCAAGATCTCGGCAGCCACCAGTCTCTCTGAACGCCAGATCACCATCTGGTTTCAGAACCGCCGGGTCAAGGAGAAGAAAGTTCTGGCCAAGGTCAAGACCAGCGCTACCCCATGAACGCCAGAGGGGGTGGGCAGTAGACGGGTTGAGGGTTTGTCTTGGAGAAACTGGGAGCCTGCCGGGGCTGGGACTGGCAGAAGGAACCCCAGGAGATGACACCTTTAGCAGGCTACTGAGTTATGGACTGTTCCTCAGGGGCTACCCTGCATGTGCCAGGAGCGTGAGGCCTGGAATGACAGTCCACTCCACCCGGGTTCCAGAGAACCTGTGTTAGTCATAATTAATCATTCATCCTAACGGGGCAGTGATAATCTCGTAACCATCACTAGTTGCCGCGATAATTAGTTTCATGTTTTCTGTCTAGAGCTCAGTAGAGCGCTTAGAGCCCGCTTTCATAAGTTGAGCTAATTGTGAATAAATACGGAAGAAGATCTTTTTGTAGGGCAATTTTCTCTCAAACCCTTTTCTGGGTACACCCAGCCCCCATGCCAATGGCTGGGGGGGGGTGAGGTGGGGGACAAAGGCAGATTCGTCCTTCTGAGGTGTGCATGCCGGGCCCAGCTAGCATTTTTCTAAGATGACAGCTGCGCAGGACAGACCATGTTAGCAACAGATGCTTCTCTCTTCTCCCTGCCCACCTTCTCCTGTGCGCTCACTTTCCCTGCCAGCCTCTTAGGCTGTCTACCCAGTGGGATGCTCCCATCACAAATGCTGGGATTTTGCAGTCCTGTGAAAATGAGACCAGTGACCTGATTGGATCAGAACCACCAGAACCGAACTCAAAGAGAGGACTTGGCAAGACAATTAACCAACCACCTGGGCACTTTCTCAAACTCCACTGCTTTTGGAAAATGAGAGATTTGGGCTCTCCTGGTAGTCCTGACTCAATCAAGGTTTGTTGGGCACTCAGGAGCCACACACAATAGTCATATGTGGTTTTTTTGTTGTCAGGACTCCTTTCAGGCCCAGCAGTTACAGGAGAGGGTAGTGTCCCAAGTTATATTGGGGCTTTTGATTAAACACTAGAATATGGAACAAGAAAGAAAACCAGAAAATAATGGGTGGCCCCCTTCCCCGCCTTTCTTTCCCTGGTCACCTCTTTTTAACAGCGGAGGAGCTTCTCTGCCCTGGGTAGGCCTGGAAGAAAGGGAAGACTTTTTTATTTGTTTGTTTTTATTTTTTTATGTAAAAGGACAGCAACTGGAAAAAGCAAAGAGACCCAGGATTAGCGTGGAGGGACTCTGGGCACCCGATGCCAAAGTGTTCTCAGACTTTTTTTGCTTTTTCATTGCCTGGGTCTGGGATCCCTGAATACAAGGTGCCCATGGCACCAATGACCAGAACATAATACAGAACCCTGGAAAACCCAGAGGAGAATGGCTATTTTCAGAAGCAGTACCAGGAGATAGACATTCCTTCTCGATGTCCTTGGACCAACTGTGGGGTAGAACTAATCGGGGCCCTGCTCAGTAGAGCCAGGAGGTTACCTCTGTCATTCTAAACCTTGGACTGAGTGGAGGCTCTCTGTAATCCAGCACCATTCCTGAAGTTCGGAGAGGCTGCTGGACTGATGTGGTGGCACTGAGTTGAGTAGCTATCTAGTAGTGGGTAGTGACCCACATATTCATGGGTTTTCCCTAGCCAACAAGCTTTGATGGTTCTCCAAGAAACCATGAGTAAGTAAATCTCTGCAACCGAGGAAAATCTGGTGCATCCTCCTGCTGATTGTGGGGTTTCAGTCCTGGCTCCTCTCTTGGGATAGAATGAGGGGGGAAGCTGCTCAGGTTCTTCTGAATATGTTTGTCAAAAAGGAGCTAGGAGTTAGGCGAGGTGGTAGATGACTCTAAGTCCAGTTGTGGGATGCTGAGGCAGGAGGATTGCAGAAAGTCTGAGTTGAAGCCAGCAGGGCAGAGCGAATTTCAGGTCAGTCCAAGCTACATTAAAGCATGTTTTTTTTTTTTCCTCTCATTCTCCTCTTCCTCCACTTTTTTCAACTTAAAAAGTCAAGACAGGAGGGAGAGAGAGATACCACCTCTGTTTCTTGGATGACAGAATGTGTGTGCCCCTCAGAAATGTAGGCAGAAATCCATTGTGACTGGAAAGTTCTTTCCATTCCAGCCATGGTCCAGTCTAAGCCCCCAGATTAGGTTATGGACTCTGCTCAGATCCTCCTCACCTTCCACCTTCCTCATTAGAAGCCACTTTGGGGTAGCTATGTTTGTTTGTTTTGTTTTTTTGAGACAGGGTTTCTCTTTGTATAGTTCTGGTTGTCCTGGAACTCGTAGACCATGCTGGTCTTTAACTCACAGAGATCCGCTGGCCTCTGAGTGCTGGGATTAAAGGCATGGGCCACCACCGCCTGGCTGGGATAGTTTTTGAAATGATAGGTCCTTAACTCTGTCATGTCATCCCAAACCTGACCGAAGTGAGCAGCCCCTTCCCTGACCAACTTCATAGGGGTGTGACGGGAATGTGGGAAGTGTGTGACAGCACTGAGGTGTGTGACACCCCCTCCCCCCTTAGGCCAGGGAGAAAGCTGCAAGACTGACTGCCATCTCAATGAACAGATTCTCAAGAGGAGAGAGGCCTGGGCGGGTGAAGGTTCTGGACTCCCAGGCTCTAACGCCACCATTCTGCCCGAAAGGGCTTAAAATTTCAGAACTCCTTTACTTTTCGATGGTACTAATTTCAGAGCAGACAAAAGATTTAGTTCAAACACCATGTTTGAACTATTAAGAAGACAAGCGCTCCCCCTTCCGGTAGACATTTGCTATTTCAGGAAACCCGCCCGCGCCAGAGGCTTTCTTCCTCCACCACCACCCCATTGAACCCCCAGCTTCCGGCATGCTACTGCCCGGGACCTCTGGCCTCCGAGTTTTGAAAGTTCTAGGCACGTGAAAGCTTCAGAACTCGAAGACGTCAGGAATTCCAGCGGATGTATAGGTCTAGTCTCGGATAAGTCCCGGAGGAGAGTAGGAATGGCGAGTAAGAATCAAGGCCACGGGCGCCGGCTACATTCCGTCCGTCTCTTGGTTACATGAGAATAATAAATTCATCTTACAACCATAACCGCTTGCAGCGGGTTTCCTACTTTTTTTTTCTGGAACCTATGCAAAACATATTTAATTTCGTTTTGTACTAAATCATTTTAGGAATCCCTTCCCCAAACATATTTTATGAAGTGAATTATTACCAGCCGTCACCGACATCGCTCAGTGATTTATGTGTAAAATACAACAAAATGCCGTGTCTACCCTGATTCACCTGCCGCCGTTTCCTTTTCAGTGAGGGATACTGGAAGCTACAAGAGATTTTCTTTCTTTCTTAAAACACGGAGGAAAGTGTGTGACCACAGTTTCAGACAACACTACCAAAGGACAAACAATTGCTGCGGCACACATTCTTTTCCGGAAAATGATTGGGGAGCCTTTTCATCAACAAGGTATAATTTTACTCTATATACCCTTCCCTCCTCTCCCCGCGGAGAGTTTCAGGCAGCAACGAAATTGGATCCGAATGTAGCTTCTTCGTCTACACCGGCCCCGGCATAATATCGCTTTTAACTACTAAGCAGGTGGATTATATTAGGCCTCTAGGGATCCAATGATGGGATAGCGGTAAGTGTACCATCAGGATTTCCGGAAGCTCCTTTGAATCTAGGGCCCAGCCACAGCAAAGCCGAGGATGACCCCCTGGCTTCCAAGTTCCGGCCTTTTACGCCTGCTGGCAAATACTTCCGGGGGGTTGGGGAGGTGGGAGAAGGCTGCCGGTACGATTGCCCCCGGAATGAAAATTTATTTTGCCTCTCCTCCACATTCTCCTACTGGGGTTTGCGCAAGGGCATGTGCAAGGCCCTAGCATGCCCCCACCATCTCGGAAGGGTTGCTGGCTCCCCTCCCCCAACGCAGAGCTTCCCTCTTCTCCTTCATTAACGTTTTATTCAAGGTTCTAAGTGCTGCACTTTAATTAGGTTTCTTTCGGGTGGGGGGGATCTGCCCCACCCCCACTCCAGTTCTGTCTTATAGAAATCCCAGAGCCACAGTCTCGGATTAAATAAATGAACTTGTTACCGTCAGTTTGCCATAAAACGCCCCGGCGGCTGTGGTGGAAGAGACGGAGGGAGGCGATTTCAGTTGATTTTGAAAGACATTTATTTCACATGCTCACCCACCTGAACAGTCTCTGGGCAGGAGAGAAGAAAGGCCAGGAGCCGCCCACCTCTCCTGCCCAAGAAAGGGGCACCCTCCCCCTTCCCGGCTCTGACTGGGACTTGCCGAGAGATTTAAAACATCCAATGGGGAACAGATGCCAGCCTGTCTTCCTTTCTTGGCTAACAGTTATGGGGGCTGGGGAAAGGGCACCGAGTGGTCGGAGACGTGAAAGAAAGAATGCCATCATTACCCCTAGGCTCCCCTAAATTGCCTTTGAAACAGGAGGGGTAGCAAAAGAATGCAGTAGCCCCCAGAATTATGGGAAGAGGAAGGGAGTCACTGCTGGGCGTTCAGTCTGTGGGGCGGGTCGGGTCGGGTCAGGGACTTTGCCATTGAACTTGAAGATCCAGGCTGGTGGTCTACACTCCCTCCACCCCTACTCTACTAAATGCTTTACAGGGAGAGCTGGGGAAGGTGAGTGGAGAAAGGGGGGGGGCGCACTCCTCTGGTCTCAGAACGGAGGCCAAGTTGGGGCTGGCGGTGGCGAGTAATCGCAAAGCCATAGGAGACCTGCTGGGAGCCACTGCCCAAAATGGCCACAGACTTGGGGAATCCTACCGAGAAGATTCTCCAAACTTCTTGGAGAAGCTGTGAATGAGGTGGAGCGCCACTGTGGATTTAGCTTCGCCCCAGGCTTAGCAAGGATAAGGGCACCCGGAGCAGTTCGGGTTCCTGTCCAAGCCTTAAGGGACACAAATCGCCGTGGGAGGCTGAAATCTTCGGGCAGATGTATGCAGAATTCGGGGCCTAGAAGCAACTGGATCCCCATCACCTCTTTTGCAGAGTGGTCAAGAGTGTTATTCAGCCCCCCCCCCCCTTCCTACTTCCAAGAACTTTAATAAGGTAAACTAACTAACACATGGGTTGAGCGAGTTTCCTATGTATCAACCTGGGACCTGTCTCTAGAAGTTCAGCAAGAATGTTGCTTAAGGATTTGGAGACATTGGAGGTCTCTGCAATAAGGGGGGAGGTCCAAAACTTCTCTCAGAGGCAACCTGTCAGGGACATCTTCGTGCTGGGGTCTGAAGAGAAAGATAATCATTTGGTCTGAAAGTGACTAAGAAAATGCTTCGAAGTATGCGGGACATCCTTGGTCTAGGCTAGGGACAGGCTTGCTGGTCAGTAACCCAGGCACGTTGCTTTATGTTTTTCTTTGACTGGATGGAATCTTGGCAAGGAAAAAAAATATTTTTAATGTTAAGAATTTTTATTTAAGACATTTTATACCTGCA